AACTTAAAATATATAGGCTTTTTAGATAAAATTTTATATTAATTTAAAATTTATAATATATGGACCATTAAAATATACAAATATTAGTCTCTCTGAGAAAATAGTTGAAAATTCTCTGACATCTGCTTTATAAAAATGTGTATTTTATGTTTTTACATTATTTTATGTGATTGCTAATAACCTTAAAGTAGCTATTAGCTATTTTTAGATTAATATAAGGCATTTATTTCCAAACCTGTACAAGCCACTGGCCTAATTAACTATTCCTGCAAATGAACATAATTATTGGAAACATCCCATGCTTTTTACATCGGATAGTTAAAAAAAAAAAATTATCATCAGCCCTAAATCTTCTTTTCTTTAAAATATACTGTAAACATAAATTCCTTTAATATGCCTAATTATCCCCCCTTTATGTAGTTCCAATTTCCATTTAGGTAGTTCTACGACCCCTTGCCACTCTTATTGAACTCCACCATCCCCACCTTTATTGATTGAGAGGTTGGCTGTGTGCTAGGTGATAATGAATCATTTCAAAATAATGAATTAAATTAATATTTGAAAATCAAGATTTAATTAGCAGATTTGTAAATATTTTTGTATAGGAATATTTAACAATAGATTTAGATGTAGTATATAAAAATTACTGCTGAAAACAGTAAACAATTATCTTTAATCCTGTTTAGTACAACAAAGCAAAAGGAATGTTGTTGTTTTTACATTAGTGTGCTCAAAGTGTAAAAGACCAAGAAAGTTAAAGACATACAATTAAATATATTAAATCAGCTTTAAGTAACATAAAATCTTAAAGCCAATTTGGTTAGCATGACTCGCACTCTTTCTAATTCATGGATGTGTGTAGTGTGTATTTTTAACAACTAAACTAAACAGATCAAACATTTCTCTACTGACAAATATCTGTAATTCAGATAATTTATATATGCAGTGTTTTTTTTGCTTCAAACATTGAAACATTGTTATAATTGTATATTTTATGAAAGCACATGCATATCTCAGTCCCTTGTGACTTCTACTGAAAAATTAAAATAAAAATGAAAAACGTCATGCTGATTCGATATCTGTTATTCTAATTACATAATTTGAAATTTATCAAGGGCTGCTTCCCAAAACCCTCAGGCAGGGCCAGGAGGCCCACCGTAAGTAGACAGTGATAATTATTATATGTTGTTATCACTAGCTTTGTTTGTTAAGTTATGCGAAGCTCAAGTCAAGTATTGAAAAGGAGATGTCATTTCAGATTTAGTATGATTTTAAATATTGAAAAAATAATGCTCCTGAAAACATAATTGTTCAATTCATGGTGTACAAAGGGAATTAAAAAATCTAAGTCGAGTGCTCAAAATGCAATTTGAATTGAGTCTAATTCAAGTTTATCACAATGTGAAGAATGTCTGTTGCTTTCGGGTCCTTCCTTACAGTTACAGCTGCTTATATTAGCATTGTTCATAACAGTAGTAAGCTTTCTAATGGAAATTATCATTAATCATTCTATTTTTATTTCTGTTGTGCATGAAGTGTCACAATTAATTTTTTCTTTTGACTGTTTTGCTACATGGTGAAGAAATGGTTTGGCTGACATTAAAAAAAATATTCCCATATTTGTTAGTTTATGGCTGTGTGAGAAATTTTTTGTCATGTAATAACATTTATAAAGAAAAGAAATCCTAGCAGAATAATTTGTTTAAAATGAATTAATATGGTTATAAATAACAAGAGAAGAAATATCATTAGAAAGAAAAGATATTTGTAAAAATCTAATTTAAAGTTAGTCAAGTTACTATAATTACCTTTGAATGCAGTGCATCTACTAACAAGACCATGCAAAATGCTTCAGATAATGATAAAATTATATTAACTTTTAAAATGAAAGATTGTGTTTCTGCAAGAACTTTTTAGTTTGGTTTTTTCTTTAACTTATTAAAATTTTGTGTTAGTAAAAAATCCTTTGTATTTTCTAAATTGTATTATACAATTATATAATAGTGGCATATATATTCTGTAAAGAGCCTAAAAGTAGATTTTCATATATTAATGTATAAAACAAGCTCTTTGCTTTACAGTTGTAAAGAAAGTGAGTTAAACATATATTTCCATGAATGTGTTTCGCATGATCTAAATGAACCCTTTAGGATTACAATTTTCATTATGTAAACCGTTTTCTATCGTCCAACAGTTGCTTTTAAAACTAAGTGTAACATCAATTATATGAAACAAGTTCTAGTAGTGATTTACAGGTATCCCTCATCACACATTATTCTATAAAACACTTCCTTTTTCAAATTTCATTAGTGCAGACAAAATGTTAAATTTTAATGAAACAAACTGTTTTGAAAATTATGCATCTAATGTCTGTGAAAAAGAAGACTTCCCACTGCATATTTCTCAGAACCAACACTTTATGTACTGTGAAGGATAGCTGTAATATATTCATCTCTGCTTGGTGTTTCCAAACATATTTTAGGAAAAAATTTCATCACAAGTTTTTGGAATTCAAATGGTTTAATACCGTTATACAGGTCAATTTTTTTTAACATCACCAGTAAGTGTTGGATCTTTTGTCTGGTGTACATGTGTTTGTCTTTTTTCTGTCTTGTTTTGTGATGGTACTTTCTTTGTTTTCAACTATTTTAATATTTACAAGTAAATGGTATTGCACTTGAATACTTTTAACATTAGATTGCAATTGTAAATTTATAATATTGTGCTTTAAATGTGTCATTGACTTGGGAAGAGTTTTGATTATAATAATTTTTAATATTAGTGTGCGTTTAATGAATATTAAAAGATCTTTAGGCAATTTAATTTCCTTTAACCATATAAGTGGCAAGTTAATTTTTCTGTAGTTTCAAGCCATTTTTAGCATTTTAATATGCTTGTCAAAAATCATAAAATCCCATACTAAATGAACTCAGAGACCCTTACAAGTATACATTTTCATAAAGTACATTGGACAAAGTACCTTAAAGTATGAAAAAAATTGTTTTTATGTGATTTATGTTGATTTTGACCTTGACATTTAAAGAAGTAAAAATTTCACTACTTAAACGTTTGAATTCAACCCAATATAATGCTCCATAAAATCAAGTTTTTTGAGATACTAGAAGCTATTTTCTTTCAGAAAATGTCAAGCTATTGGTACTTGTATTGAAAATTGTAATATTGGTGAATTTTTTCGTTAACTACCTGTCATACAACAAAATACAAGGGGAAGGCACAAAATGAGTTAAAAAAGTCCTTTTCAAATGAAGTTATTAAATCCATTTTTATTAAATAACATTCCAGAACATACACAAACATAAATGTCTTTGAATCTCTTTAGAGTAGGTCTTTGGGATCCAATCTATCTTTCCTGTTCAATTTCCACCCTTTGCCAAACGAATTTGTCTGTAACATTAAGCTTAAAGCTAAAATTTCCAATATCTAACTCATATGTCGCCAGCACCACTGTCATTACCAGCACATGGAATTTTTCTGAAATCATTTGCTTTCATTTTAATCCATTTGAAATAATTCCAATAAACAAAGTCTGTGTTGATTTTGCAATCTAGAGGGGGGCCCTCTCCACCATCTGACATTATAGCGGTAAAAAAAAACTGATCAAATTTCACACTCCATTATCACAAGAAAAGTCCTGATAAAATCACGTTAAAACATAGAAACGAAAATAGGAAGCAATCTCAAGAGTGACTTTCTCTTAATAAATAGACATTAAATCATTGCAATTTTATGTCCACTTTGCTGTCATACGATTATATTGACAGTGATTGGACTGAAAGGGGATTAGCAACCAATGATTGGCTGTTATTTAAATTATAGGGTTAAAAATGCTGTGTAAAGCAGGTTTCACAAACTTTTGTGAACAATTTTTCTATTTTCAAATAGTCTTTTTTTTTTTTATTTGGTACTAGTTTTAGAAAAAATTGGTCAATGAAAAAAAGAATTCAGATATTTTAAGGAGGGGGGGGGGGGAGTTTAAAGCAAATTAGAGAGTTTTCCAAAAGGTGCTATATGCTCATTAATTTGTACCGTAGTTTATCTGAAGAAAGTTCTAGTAGTTTTAAATTCCAAATAATCCTTTCAATTTACATAATTTTTTGGGGTAGTTTATACTGCTTTAACTTCCCCCAGATAAATGATGTATTATTGAATTTACAAAAATATGGTTTGCCTTAAATTTAGTTATATAGTTGGACTATATAGATTCCAGGTATGAAATTAAGCTGGGGCCAAAAGCATACCCTCAGGGGGCGCACAACTATTTATTTTAATGTATTGACAGGGTGGCTGATTCAGTCAGAGCTTGCTCTGGGCGACATGCCTAATTTTGGTCTGACAGATGCCCTGCTCCCCCCCCGAAATAGTCTGAAAGAAACACCGATAAAACGCATAGGTAAACATGGGCCCCAAAAGATATTTTCCAAAATTTACTTGAATAGGTTAGCAAGGGGCCTCAGTGCTTTACCGATGCTGTTAAGACAGCCCTGTATGTTTATCAAGATAAGCATTGACAAAAAGCTTTGTTACATTGGGCCTATGCATTTTTAAAAAAAAAATGCATGTCAATAATACTAGTAATGTGATGCAATTTTAATTGGAAAGAAACATTATGTAACTTGTAAATAGACAAAGCGTTTATGCTTAACAAATGCACTCTGTTTTAATGATTATTCGTGCCTAAAGATCTTAAATATACCAGCTAATGAGCTAGCTCACGCCTTTGTAAATAAATATAAATAATATATATATTTTTTTAATTGTGACTAAAGTCTTTCTCAAATGTCTGTGATTTTTATTTGAGCTTTTTTGTGCCATAAACCTTGTAAATGTACAGTTAAGATTTCTCTTTGTATTAAAATCTTGTATCTTTTAATTTAACATTTTATATTTTAAAGTCTTTATTTACATCAGTCCCAGCAATTTTATTCATTAGACCAATACAAATATTTCAATTCACACTTTTTTTCAGGTCAGCAGGACCAGGTGGCCCAGGGATGCAGCCCCCACGAGAACAAAGTAAACGTCTGCAACAGACCCAAGCCCAGGTGGATGAGGTAAATATCTTATAACTCAATGTCAAGTAGATAATCCTCACATGAATAGATTTTTGAATACTGGTTTGCAAGAAAGATAAGCTGACAGTATCAACACAGGCCGCTGGACATTATTTCAGAAGACCTCTTCTTTCCCCCTTGCCAAATTGAAGTAAAAAAGGCTGATTATGTGGGAAAGAAAACTCTGTGAAAGAACAAGCATATGCACTAAGGGGGTCGGTTTGGTCAGATTAGTAGTTAAAAGAACATGATTGTAGAGCTGCTCATCAATCTGATTACATATTTTTCATTTTGTTACTAAGCCATATAGTAAATCTTCATGGCCTTCAAAGTGGAGGTGGTACAGCATGCTAAAAAGTGGGTACACTGTGAGACAATAGGCTCACACACTGGGAGTCTCCCTGTTTTTATTAAATCTTGTATGATGGAATTGGCTACAATGCATTTGTGTATGCTTAAATGTTATTTTATTATCTCAGGTTGTAGACATTATGCGTGTCAATGTTGAAAAAGTGTTAGACAGAGATCAAAAGATTTCTCAACTGGATGATAGAGCAGGTAAACATCTAAATTGTGTTATACTGTGCAATGTTTTAATGTAAATAAATGTAGCAGCAAGGGCTTACTGTGGTTAATATTAAATCTCAGTCAAATACCTATGTAGTAGCTAGTTCTGTGTCTCCCTTTATTAGGAGCAGAGCTGCACCTTCCCCTTCTTGTAAATTTCATTTACTAATCATCTGGGGAAAATGTAGTATATGTGGTTTAAAGATGACTTCTCAGTACTCCTACTCTTACCATTGCCATACAGTCTCCAATGATCAAATAAACAGAATCTGAATAAAAGGAATGGTCCTTAACATGATGAAAGTTCTTCACATCAGCCTCCATTACTGACTAAGAAAAAATATATCATATCTCTTCTATAAGTTCTGCTGGATTTTGATGGTTGTTAAATCAAAAAATGTTGTTCAATGACCTAGATATCAGTTGTTTTTTTAAAGCTGATTTCTGATTTTGCCTATGAATTACCATTGTGATTATTATCAAGAGATACAATACTTAACATATATCATTTTAAGTATGTAATGGGAACCAATATTTGTGTTATTGCTGTAATGTATGAGTTAATGCAAAATATATACATTTGTGACAAATGATAATGAAAGTTTTAATTTGCTATGAATTGGTTAGTTCCTGGTTATTGTTATAAGCAAAACAGCTAAAAAATCATTGTTAACATTTGAATCCAACAGAGGCACTTCAGGCTGGTGCATCACAGTTTGAAGCCAGTGCTGGCAAACTAAAACGGAAATACTGGTGGAAAAATTGCAAGGTAATATTTATTAATTATTGAAATTAGGTCATTAGGACATAAAAAATATAGAAAAGCACTGAACAATACATTAAAAAAAAATAATTTACAAGGGTTCTGCTATTGTATGATCAATGGAATCCCATACACAAAGAAGCCACCAAAAAACAAGAAGATAAAGTGAGAGGAAATCTAGATTACAATGAACCTCTTTGCAATGATCAAGTCATTTTTAAGCATGCTGGGTCAGCTAAATTGTACACATGTAAGCTTGTTAGCATTCATACTACTGCTGTGCTGCTAAAGTCAGACCAAACTGAAAACTGCACCTACTAACTAACTAACTAACTTAAGAAAATCAGCGAACACCGAGCCTTGAGGCTCATATGGTCCTCCCCAACGCACCACCCCGCCAACCAAACCGGCCGTCAACCACTCCCCCAGTGGTCTTTATTCCGATCGGGCCGCGAAGCGGCACGCCAGGGACGCTCCGCCCCTAAGACCGCCACACTCGACCTCCACTCGATTGGCCGCTGAGTGTGGCAGCCCCAGAGAAGAAACACCTGGCCAGCCGGATTGCTGCTCACGCAGCAACAGGGCCGGACTTTCTAAGGGGTTGGGGTGGATATTTAACGTCTCTAAAGTCCCCCCTTACCACCCCGGGGGGACCGCGTAGTTGTTTAAGACCGACGCCCTCTACTAGGGTTTGTATGGTTATTCTACGGCGCGACTAATTCACACCGTAGATGGGAGAGAGAGGTTGCCTTGGAGCAGTACCCTCAAGACTGCATATTTAGAATCACCGGTGAAAGGTTGCCACACACCTTCACCTCATATCCATACGGCAACTGTAATCATGTCCCAACCTGTTTCTGCGTTTAGTAAAATAGTTCGACTGCACTTGGTGGGAAGCCATGCAATCGTGCTCGATTTAACGCAGTCTCCGTGCGTTACCTTTGCCTTTCAGCGCGGGTCCCCTACACGGTGGTACTGTTCCCCGGGTAACGCTTCAGGGGGTTCGTGGCGAGCGCCTCTTTATCAAACATGTCATTGATCGACATGACGACAAGAGCCCGGGGCCAACTGCACCTACTCAGTTATGAGATCAGTGTTGATTGGTTGCTTATTGTAATCCCACAGCTGCAGCTATTGCAGTTTTTTGTAGTTTCCAAAAGTATTAACCTTAAATTGACTTTAAAAAACAATGAATTAATATATTTACCATAACTATATTTCTGCTGGGAATACTCTACTTTTTAAATGGGAAGTTTTCCTATATTTCTTGATTTGCCTCCAGCTGTTCAGCTGTTGTATGTATATATATACATCCCTAGTACATCTGTAGGTACCATAGTGTCAAATGTCTCTCAGCCCTCCCCCACAACCCCAAACCTTACAGTTGTTCAGTTGAAATGCTTGAGAACTAAAGGATGGGTTCAAATCACTAAGCTGCCGTGGGAATAGGACTGATATTAAACTCTGTGACCAGAAACTCTTCTTAATAAGAAAGGCTTAAAATGGGTTATTCATCTACTAAAATTTAATTATTATGTATGTACTAAATACATAGAGACATTGTAGTGCAACAGGAACACTGATACTCTCACTGCGGATCTTGAAAAAATAAAAGATTTCACTATCTCAAGTATCTATAATAAATTCAGAAACTCTATATCTAACTATCTAACTCTATATTAACTCTCTAGCTCTAATAATAGTATCTGAGGAAGCTATTATGTCCATTCACCTAAAAGGGGCTCTCCCATAGAGCCATTTATATTTTCTATTTCATTACTTTAAAAAAAATCAACATTGGTTGTTGTTGTTTTTTTTTTTTATATAATTACATCTGGATACATTGAATTTCCTTTCTTTAACTTGGCCACGTCTTACAGATGATGCTGATCTTGGGAGCTATCATTGGCATTATTTGCATTATTATTATTGGTGAGTGAAGGTACAGGAGTTGCAGAACTCCAGTTTACCTTCATTGTTGTTTTTAAAATTAAAAATGTTTCACAACAAGTGTGTTATGTCTTTGTTGTATAAATCTCTCCATCACTCTCCTTTTGGTATTTTATCCTCAAGCCATGTGTAGCTATTTGTGTCAATGTTTTAAATGTTTTTCTTTTTAAGTTATATTATCCATAGTTGGTGTTGTCCATTGCTTAGAAGCTAGCATGGCTGCAATAAATATGAAGTAATTATTTGGATTAATAATATAAAAATTTAAAATTGTGGAATTTTCAACATTAAAGTGATTCACAAATGTAATAATTTGATTAATCTTGATCTACATTTTTTTATCTAAGTGGCTAGGAGAAAAATAAAATGTAGCTTCCATAAATTTACATTTCATGCCCAAGTTCATTGGTAAATATTTCTTAATAAATTACTATCTATATCTCAATCTCTTATAGTTAGACTTAATTTTTAATTTTGTTTTTGTGATGAGCCATTTTTTTTTTTTATAAGCAAATTTGATTAACATAATTTTATGTTTGTGGATAAATGGCATTTTAGTTTTCATTATTGCCCCCCTCCCCTCGCACATAAAAAAGTGTAATACAAGCAAATAATAATTTATTGAAGTATACTACTCGTTGATAATGGCAGTACCAAGGTTGACCTGGGTCAGCCATCCAGCATACAGTTGTGCTTTGAAACTGACACACCTGAAAACTAGTTGCTGTTCTTTTGTATCTTTTTAAATGTGTATTTCATGTTGTACATTTTATTTTTCACAGATGTGGCTTATTCTTATTGGTGTCATTGTTGTCATTATTATCGTTATTGTCGGTAAGTTTTTATTTTCCTTTGTTTCTCCTTTTTTTTGTGAAGTTTAAAATGACTTCTGCAATTATCATTTACTTGATTATTAAATCCTTTTATTTTAACAAAACGAGTGATTGCATTATTTCATTTAACATTCAAAAATTTTTGAGGAGATGGATAAAGATGACAATCTTTCTTGGTGCCTTTAAAACATTATGTACTGTATTAAAATCTGTTAATATTTTAACCACAAGGAAAATTCATGAATGTACAGCTTTCTTTAGAATTAACAACAAATGACTTAAGCTCTTATAATTTTAATACTTTAGTGTGAGCCTTTTAAAATGATAGCACCAGCACTCATAAAACATTTAGTTGTGGGGGAAAACAGCTTGAGCCAAAATAATGTGACACCGCAAAATATTTAATAACCTAGTTTTAAAGAGTGTAAAAACAACTTGGTATTTAGATAGCCCTGGCCTGACCATAGCGAATTTATATTTTTTAGTTGGTGTATTGTATCTTAAATACTTGATGGCGTGTAATGTACTTATAAAGAGAATTAAATCTCCATTTAAACTATGGTTGTTTTGTAAATGAGTGAACATTAGTTATATTTGGTATGGGTTAACTAATCAAGTTAAAGAAAACAATTCCTCTATTATACTAATTATTATTAAAGATAACTTCTTTATCACTGCATATTTTAGCTCGTAGAGTTATTTTTTGTTCTTTTAGAAATCTGATTTTAAACTGGGTTTTTTTGTACGGCTTTCATAGAAATATACTCTTAACCCTCGAACTGTGGCATGCATCATTCTGTAGTGTGGGAGCTTTTTGAGTGCCTTTTGAAATTGCATTAAATGACATAGAAATATTGATACAAGACCCCTATAAGTATATATTTTTAGAAAGGTAAATGGATGGGGATAAAGTTGGTTATATTGCCCAACCCATAAAAAATTTTTTGCTCAGTGTTCTTGCTTTTTAGTGCTCATAACATCATTAATTTTTATAGATACACTTAAAACACTAATCTAAATGTTGTAGCCAATTCATTTATCTTTCAGAAAATGTGTAGTTTGCTAAGGTTTTGATTTAAATTAAACCTCTGAAGGCAATTTTAGTAATTTTAGGTCATTTATATAAGAAACAGGGACCACAGCTAAAACCAAGTACAAAATACAAAATCTCAGGCAAAATAATTATTATAGACTAGTAAACATTTAAAAAGGAACTGTGGAACTGATTTGGGTTGTTTAACTATAAAATTTATTAGTTCTGATCTATAACCTGTAGCTTCTGTGACTAAAATTCAGTCGGTCCTTGCCCAACCTCCAGGCTTGGCTCGAAGTCTAAAAGTAGCCTCAGTAGGCCTACTTCAGTATCACTAAGACTAGAATAAGATTCACGAGAAGAATAATCTCAACTGAAATCATGATGGGGAGTGTTAAAATCATCATCAGTATCACTTAAATGCTCTCCTAAAACACTTTCAAAAATATTTATATTGGCTCTTGCGCTGAAGGCCCAGCCATTGCTTCAACCATGTTAGCTTTAAAAAAAACAGTGATATAAAACTCCTATTGAAAATTACTTGTTTTTAAGTTATCAAGAAACAGCTTGACCCGGAAGATGATTTAATTATTAATAAAAGGAAAGGGCTATAATTCCTGTTAAATATTGGATTGGAAGTTGCTATCGGGCTGTGTTTTTAATCGGCCGATTTTTTCGGCCGCCACACCACAGAACAAGAATATCGGCCTAAGAAATTGGCCGACCACAGTTTGAGGGTTAAAATGCAAGTTACTTTATTTAATGCTTCTTTATAAACTTATAAGCCGCAGCTTTCGGATAATAAATAAAGTTTAAAGTTAATCCATATCTTACAACCCAAAAAGCGAGTATTGAATTCCTAGTTATATACTGTATACTGTATGTTGTATGCTTAACATCTTTTTTTTACTAAATGAACATCAAATAAGGGGATTTTGAAACATTCATTGCAAAAATAAGTTTTTAACAAAAAATTCTTCATATTGTTAAAAACAACCCATAGTCATTTCAAAATGGACTTAGATTATCCCTTGATTCACTCAGGAAAAGAGGCTGTGTTCGTTATTTTTCTTGGCTACTATTTGAAGATTATAATTAGGCCCTTCGATACCTTGTTTACAACAGACTTTAAAGATAACCCATCCTCCAATGTTTATGCATCAGTTATTAATTTTTAAAGTTTATATTATCCTTTTTTCTTTTCTTTTTTG